AATGGATGGGGGAGATAGCGTGAAAATGACTGAAAACAGCAAACACCACCTCATTGATTTCAACATTTTTCCTGAAATACCAAATAAAAAATTCAACAACGAAAAAAAACATGTTATCAACTCTACACAAAATGTGAGAAATATCGAAATATCCCAGAATTAAAAACAAAAACGAAGTGCCTTTTTTAAATTTGGCAACTATGGACTGCTGAAAATAGACTCACGAAAACTTCTTCGTTGACTTTTATCTTGTTTAAAAAATTCTTCTGTCAATATGGGCAAGAACACCTTCGTTAGACTACGACTTATCAACGACTGTCCAAAAGAGTGTATCACGCTTTACTTTCAGTGTCTTTTTATACCGTCACCCAATATAGGCTATACTGTTATTTTCGACAAATCACCGATTTTAGATAGGTGATTATTTCGCAAAAAAAAATAATATGTGTCAATCGAGTGTAACGGTGATTGTCCCGCTTCATTTCTTATCTTTGATAAAGATTTCTTATCTGAACTTGAAAACATTTAATTTTTTTATTTTAGCTTTTTCAGTATACTTCAGTGGAACCGGAAGAACGAAATCGTAAACAAAGAGGTTGAACGATACGTGCTATCGGATAGCATGCGTAAAATGCCAAATCCGTTAATTACTCTGTTCATGAAATAGTTTTCCTTCTTCACCATTGTTTTCGATTATCATTTTACATTGTTTTGTTCTCTCGTCTGTTTAAGCCATACAGAGTTTATAAAAGAAACAATTATTTGTTGTGTTATATATATTTTGAAACAAATTTAACAAATAACAACAATCGACTTAACAGAAATCTATTATCTAGGCAACAATTTGATGCTCACTTCAATTAAAGATACTTCCATTACACATGTTCAAGTAAATGAACTTTTTGATTTCAATGTCTATATGTATCTTAGGTTTTTAAACATGAAAAGAAATTGCGTAACCAGAGATATTTGTGAACTCGGGGATTTGTTTTTTTATCAAATTAAAATATAACAATTATTGTTTTAACTGTTAACTTATTTCTTTATTGAAAATTAGTCGAACACACGATGAGAATTGTTTCGCGTCTGTATCGATATTGATATTGAAGTAATATTGGACTTATATTTAAAGTCACCTCGAAATTGTATGAACATTGAACACACACTTGCCTAACCTTGTGTGATTATAAATAAAATGAAAAAACTTTAACAAAGTCAATTCTCGTACGGAAAGTGAACATAAAACGTGTTTGCATTATTCTAACAAACTTTTTCATCGCTCCGAAATGATTATTTAAAATTGATATCACGCATTTCATATTTGCTTCCGGCATGACAATTGAATTTGTTCAAGTTTTTTTCATTTGATATCAGCTGTTTTGTATTTGAATTAAGTGATAAAATTTACAGCCAGCCGATAAATATGAAATCTTAATGAACAGTTTATTTTTCCACAAATTAATTGATTTTATGGTATGAAAGGCGTTTATTTTTTTTTAATTGATTTTTTTTTATCAAGATTTAACCACAGTATCGCTCGCATTTACGCCAAGAAATGACGTTTGTTTCAATTCTCTGCTATTTTCCGGTTGCATTTTTGAAAATAAATGATTTTTCAACATTTGGTAGCCACATATTGTCAGATCTTGAACAATTGTAGAGCGCCATCCATAAATCAGCTGTAAATAGCCGTAAGTGATTTCGATATATTGTGAAATGTTGCGAAAGTACACTCTGAAAGACTCGTCTATTCCATTTATTGCAATGCTATCAAAAATTTGAGACTATCACAATGTTGATATTTGCATGCTATCTATCTAGTTGTTGTATGGATGAGTCAAAAATAATATTTGCATTGGATATCTAATTAGCATCAGTTTGTTTCTAATTCTTTCATTTGTGTTATAAATGGGAAAATTATTCATGTCAATATACAAGTTTAACGCTCATGAAGTTATTAATAAATGGTAGAACAGTAATTACTATCTGATTTTAAGTCTTATTCGGGGAATTAATTACTTAACTTCAGAGTATTTTCCAATCTGACTTTAAAGAGCTGTTTCCCCGTCAACTAAAATACCTTAAATATATTTTAGTACATAAAATGAGGTGGACACAATCTTCAATGCATACTCAATCACTTGAGATCTATCTCAAAAAGATATTTGGTACTTGAATAAAATGATAAAATAATAATTATAACTAGATATTAGAAATCGGTTCTGCTGATACTTCCTGACGAAGGTGACACATGAAGCTGGGAATACAGGCAGTGCCATTCCACCAAAGATTCTGACGGTCGCTGCAATGACAGCCATAGATGCATTCTCTTGGACATAGTTTGATTGGGAATGTATGCATATTTTCGCAAGTTCTCATATTACATTGGTTAGCACAGGTCCATTCTTTTTTTGGATCCGATCGGCATGGATTCGTGCATACACACGGAACATCGTCATAAGCTTCAGACTCAGGAACACATCGGTGACATTTGTTTCGTGCAAAACCATCCTTACACACACATACATGCTCTACTCGGAATGTCTGTTTGTGCTGATGACATCGGCTTTCCTTCTTTCTCTTGCATTTGCAGTGTACATTTTTCTTGCACTTCTTCTTACAGGACCGTTCACTTTTACATTTTTCTAACGGAAACTTTATTTCTTTTAACTCCTCATCGACACCATTGCACTGAACTCCACATTCCATTGCTGCACCGCAATGCTCGGGCTTGACACATACACCACAATGATTTCTCAAGTAACCCTCCTGGCAATCGCATACATTTAACACGCATAAACTGTTTGTATTTGGCATTGTGATATATTGTAAGAAGATGTCTCGTGGTCTTGATTGCTCGACGGTTGGACAGACGCGAGCTTGCCATGGATCCCAGCACCCATATAATGTTTCGAATGGACCTGAACAGGAGATCGGTATGGATTGTTTACATGGAACGCTGCATTGTTCCTTCGGTACACACACATCACAATCATTTCGATACAAATCGTCTTTGCATTCGCATGTTCCCAATTGACAAAGCAACGTACAAATTCTGTTTTCACCTTTTGCCAGATTCGCACACGTCTTCTCCGTACAGGAATTGTAACAACTATTTACAACGTAGTCTTTTAAACAACATACCGGCGTCGGTGTTGAAGCAAATTGCGAATCTAAAAAGAAAAAAATGTTTTTGTTTCTTTTTTATATCAATGTGGTTGCCACTCACCAAATGGCTTAATTTTGAAAGCAAACACCAATAACACATAGCAAAATTTATTCATCATTCGACTCTATAAGCTCTTATTCACACTATAAAAAGATAAAATCGTTGCCCACCGCTTTTATACGAGAGCATTCATTTGAACTCATTTGCATAACTGTGATTTAATCGAAGATGATTTGGTGCAAACAAATATATTGCAGATAATCGGTATTCTATAAAAATATGCTATTGATTTAACCGTTAACCAGATTGTTTATTAATCTGCAATGAAATCAAAACATGTTTGGCTTTTGACTATTTTTATATATTCAATTTGTTGTACTAATTTTATGCACAATATGTTTTATCAAATCAGAAATTTTCCATTATTCCATAATATTGTCGCAAAACATTAAGGTCGAATAAAGATGACATGACTTCAATGCAAACAAACCAATTTTTTAATCGGTTTGAATTATGTTTTCCAATAAAAATACAATCAATGTAGTTGGTTTAAAGGTTTTATTTTAAAATTTGTTCTAGAATCCTAAACTTACATGATGTTTTCTGTTGCTTCAGATGCCGTTAAATAGGTTTTTGTTTGAAATTAACATGTACTTTCAATGAATGTAAATTTGCTTCTGAATGATTTCAACAAAATACATATCAATATTTTATTTTAGATAAATTAATTATTATTCATCAGCTTGGATATAAGCTTACTATCTCAAAACGTTCAGTTTAGAAAAGTAGAATCGATAAAACTGTTTTTTTCTCTCTCGATTTGCAATGATTCATGTGTAGCATGAATCATTCGACTTCCTGATGAGTTTTCTTTTGCATTTTCTCTTTATTTCTCTCACTTCTTTTTCTGCTAAATAATAATCTACAAAAACTTAATTTGTTCGACATACCACAATTTCGATAAAAAGGAGATGGACTATTGCAAAATTCAAAACACGATTGAATACAACATTGTATTCGAATGGACTTTAGAAAGGCCTGGATTAACTCACATTGATATAGATGAGGTATGAACTTATATTGACAATTAAAACCAAATTATCAAGCAATTATAGCAATAAAACTAACTATTCTCTATGTAATCCCTTTCGAAAAGATCGCACAATTACGGTTTCACATGAGAGTTGTTCACTTGATGCCCACATTCGTGGACTGTGTCAATTTTCTCTTTTGCCGAAACTTGCCGACGTACGCTTCGATCAATTTCTTGATTTTCTTGGGATTTATTTCGCCCGTACGATTATGACAGATCTGTAAAATAAAGACAAAAAGACATTAGAACTATTACGTTGAAGTACAACATTTTAGTTTTTTTGTTGTTGCATACTTTGGGAACTGCTCGTCTCATAATATCTTTATATTCTTCCTTAGTGACGTGCTTCTTGTTGTAATGCGGCTTCAACACAAGTTTTACCTAAAATAATAATAAACATAGAAGGTAAGAGCCAAACTTGAAGCTTTCTAAATATAAACACAACTTTACCTCTTCGATAACACGCTCTTGACGGTTCAATTTTCTTAAGAACTGTTTGAGAAGAAAAAGAATTTGAATTAAAAGTTTGCACTCAATGAATGAGATATCGGCATATTGACGGGTCAAAATTAAAATACTTGCCTTATCTTTGGCTTGTAGTTCGACTGCTGAAGAAGGTACATCGTCAAGAATGCGCAATTGTTCCTCGTTGAGTTTCGCATATCCGCCTAATTGCGTCGAATGTTTACTCACTGCAATCCAATCTGGTTTCATTAATGTTTTTGTTTACAAAAAAAAAAATGATGTTTCCAAACGAGGAAAAGAATGGAAAAGAGAAGGAGAACAAGAGGAAGAAAAACAGAGATAGATACAATTTACGATCAAAAACCAAACGGGATACCACCACCACCACCACCACCACCACCACTACCACCGTCATATTGTATTTGAGTTGTAAATTTAATATGGTTTTCTCCGAATTTTCGTAATACAATACATACCTTTGATTGACGAACTATGTTTGCTTGGTCTTCGTTTTGCAGCCGTTCTGCCCTTGTTGATGGGTGATGTGCTGCCGAACAGGTCATCGAATATTTCAATTTTATTGGTGGACGTTGAAGTCGCAGAAGCTTTGGGTGGCTGCCGTGAGCTATGCTTGCTGCTTGAATGTGTATTCGTTGGTGGGGAGTTTTGCGGTGGTTCGAACCAATCTTCATAGTCACTTGAACCAGGCGAATATGGTGACTCAATATCCATATTGTCATCATTGCCATTATGACGTTGTGGCTTTGAAATTTTTGGCAGTGGCAGCTTTGAAATAATACTGCCGGAACTATATTTCATGGGCGATTGTTTCGATACCGAAATCGAACTTACATTAGTCGACAAATTCGTTATAGTTAACGTTGAAGAACGTGATTGTGACGGTTGTGTTTGCATTCGTGAGCTTTCCTTTGCTGGTGTCAATAAAACGTTACTAAAGACATGAATTCCCGATGATTTTGGTGCGGCATTCTCACGGAAACCATCGTCAATCGCTTTGTCTTTGTATGGAGACACGTTCGATTCATCATTTGGATTATCTGTTATATCCATATCTTCACCGCCAAGTGTGCTTGACAGCAGTGAATTAGCTGCATCAATTGAGGCTTTTGAATTGATAAGAGCCATTGATAAATCGACTGGTTTCGTGGATTTGCCATCATCGGCTACTGATGTTGGCGCTTCATCAACGGTATCATGTATCGAATCACCTGGAGATTGTGAAGGGGATTTTGTTGGTTCGAATGGATCGTAAACGTCTGGTGAACACGGGCCTGGCGGTGTGTTTGGACCAATCTTTTGCTGATTTTGTGCACTTGAGATTTGAACTTTATCTGCTGTTGCAATCACATTCTCAATATTCGATTCCTTGTTCTCTCCACTGTCGTCCTCTTCTTCGTCGTCGTCGTCGTCGTCATCGTTATCGTCGTCATTGTCATCGTGTAATGGATTGACAACGGTGCGAACGATTTTCGTTTTTGTACTGGTTGAAATTGAAAACTTAACGAGATGCGATGGTTCCGGCGGTGTTTTCGGACCTAATGGTAGTTCGAATGAGGCAGATTCAGCTGTGGGTGATTGTGGTGGCGATGAAACTCGAATATTTGTTTCTCTAGTATCGATGGACGAATGATGTTTATCATTTGAAATACTTTCCGTAGCATTTGAGTTCAATGAATAGTTGAGCGATTGATTCTTGTTCAATTTATCACTTTCGTTATCACTATCGCTCAGAATAATTACGGCTCTGGGTGAGGGTGTAACCTCTTTGAATGGTGAATTATCCAAGTCGATGATAGCAACGGGTTTGATATCAACTTTTCGATGCTTTCGTGGCACATCTCTGCCATTGCGACGCGAGCGCTTCGAATTAACATCACGTTCGGTCGGTTTCTTGTTCAATATGTGCTCTTTTGTTGGCGGCAATGTAACTATGGTCGTCTGTTGCTGTTGCTGTGGTTTGTCTTTATTAAAACTGACGCTCACCAAAATGTTGTCACCCGAAGCAAACACTTCTTTTGAAGGGAGAGTGGGTGAGTTTTGTTTGTCGGTTCGCTTTCGTTTTTCTTTCTTTTGCAAAGATTCCGTCTTTCGTTTATCCGACTTTCGTCTCTTGTCACGCTTGCGTTTGCTGTCTTTATTCTTAAGAATGACCGTTATATTTTCTGGTGCGTGAGCAATTGGTGGCGTCCATGATGTTTCTTCTTCATTTGGTACATCACTTATGCTACGGTTCCATGAAGCTCTATCATTCCACGATTTTGACCGTGACACACGGCGACGTTCAACTGGTGTATATTCTCTGCGAACTGGTGAATGGAATGGAGATACTTTTTTCGAACCAGACGCTTTCTTCTTCGAACGATACTTTACATTCTTTTTGTCGTTTACTTTCTTCTTCGATTTCTTGTCTCTGCTTCGACTTCTCGAGTAAGCAGTATGCATGTACATGCCGCTATGGACTGGTCGAGGAGGTGTATAAGACCGTGATTTTGATTTTGATTTCGATCGACCGTTGATTATGCGGCCACGTGAAAACGAACGGCTCCGACTAGGAGTATAATACACGGGCGAACGAGAACGAGAGACAGACTTTCGGCGCCGATTATTCCGTGAGATTGAATGTCTGCGCCGTAAACTGTTGCTACGACGTCTTCTTGAGAAGGAGCGATGTCTAGATAATGAGCGTCTCCTCGACGAACGGAAGCCTGCGATAAATGTTAAAGAAAAGAATTTATCAACTCATTCACCGAAATTACCAAGTTTCAAATGAAATTTGAACAAACCTGGTGAAATGGAACGTGACAATGAACGAGATCTTCCCCTCTTGGGTGTGATACTACGTGGAGGGCGTGATGTGTCACGACCATATTTATCTTTGATGGACCTTGGTCGTCTATCTGCGATCAAATGGCGTACATCGTAGCGTTGGATCTCTTGGCGTTTTCCTCTGTAGTCTTTGCGGCGAGGTCGTTTAGCATCGCGCCGATTCCGGGTTCTGGACCTTGACATTGACCTTGACCTTGACCTAGACCTAGACCTAGACCTTGTCCTTGTCCTTGTCCTTGTCCTTGTCCTTGTTCTTGTCCTTGTCCTAGATCTTGAAACGGAGCTACGTGGTGATATTGAGCGTCTACTTCTACTTTTGTTCACCTTCTTATCCTTTTTGTCACGATAGTTTCGGTCTTTACTACTTTTGCTAACTTTTTTGAATGAATCATCCCGATCCGATTTCTGATTGTTATTTTCTTTATCAGCTTTGTTTTCTTTTGCAACTTGTTCATCGTGCATCTCATGCTCATCCTCAGAAATCATTTCGGTGTCCATGCCCTCAATACCAACGTTTGAATTCTCATTTTTGTCATTGCTGCCTTCTTGAGCGTCAGCTTTCCGTTGAGCCTCTGAATTACCAGCGACTTGGTCCTCCGAGTCACTAATGTCATCTGTCGCTTTTGATTTGCTTGCAGTTGCTTTGCTGCTTTCGCATTCATTGTTCAATTGTTCGGTTTCGGGCGATTCGGTTCCAGTATTTGTCGTCGTTTCTGGACTGGTAACGGGCGATTCTATAGATTGTTCGGCTTCCGGTTGTGTTCGTGTTTGATTAACATGCTCTTCGCTAATTCCTGTTTCATTTCCAAAGTGTTCATCGTCATCGAGTTGCACTAAATCTTCATCGTTTTCCATATTGTCTTCGACAGATTTCTCAACATTGTTTGGTGTGCTGTCTGGTGATTCTTTACCCTCTTTTACAACTTGCATCGATTCTGCCGAATACTCAAAAACTGGACAATCGTCTGCCTCGTCGCTATCCGAATAGTTGATCGAGCTTGACACTCCTCTGCTTGTAGTTGAAACCGGTTGGTCATGGGACGACGACACTTCGCTCGTACTTTGTGCATTGGTCTGCTCTTGAGCCACCGTTTGAATGTTATTCGAACCACAGTCAATACTTTGATCCGACTGCGACTGTGCTACTGGTACGCTTTGATTGGCCTGGACAATTCCATCCGAATCCTCCGGAGTGTTCTTCAATCGTGAGCTCAAATCGTTGTCAGCTGTTGGAATGGAAAATATAAATGATATGTGTTATCGAAAATAATCGCAAATCAATTGTTGTCAAATTGAAATAATTACATTGAGTCGGCATATTGGGTATTGGTGGAATATCTTCTCCATCGTAGAGGCCTTGCTGTGGTCGTGCTTGAAATTGGTTTCGGAATATTCGAGGACTGTTGTTGTTGTTGCTTCTTTGTCGTTGAAATGGTATTCGATTTCTTGGCGAGAAATTATCCTGTTGGAAATTGTTCGAAATGCCGCCGTCATTGAAGTTGCCACCCCGTTGGAATGGCTGGAAAGCCGTTTGCTCATTTCTGTCACCGAATCGATTTTGTGAAAAATTTCCCGTATTTTGGCTGGTACTGTTTCCTCTGTAGCCATTCGAATTGTTGAAATTACGATTACCCGTGCCGTCATTTCTTGGGTTCATCGGCGCATTTAGAATATCTGCATTTGGTTGTTCGGTAGCGGTATTAGGTGTTCGTGTTGGCTGCGGTTGACACTCCAAACTGCCATCTGCTTTGATTTTGATCTTTTCAATTGTTGAGGGCCGGCTCATCGAATGCCATCGATTCATTGTATCCATAATATTTGATAGAATATCAATGCCTCCTTCCGAATCACCCGTTCCTATTGTTGAATTAATTGCAACACGTTTGCGTCCAATCAAATTGCGATGACCGGGCCGCACTGCTGACCTTATCAACAGGCCGTCACCCGTTTCGATGGAGTTGTTCAGCGAACCAATTCCTTCGTCGTTGTCACTTTCACCAGAGAAATACTCGAGCGCATTTTTATCGCCAAACAAATGTAACCTTGGATACCCTTTGCGAATACCTTTACTAGAACGACTAACACCACCACCACCGCCACTGCTTGAAATACCTTCGACCCCGTTTTGTGGATCTTGGTTCTGATTTCGTCGTGAACACTTCACGCTCGACTTCTTTCTCGATTTTTTCGTTTTGCGCCGACGCTTTTTGATGAGTTTTTTGGCAGTTTTTATGCCAAATTTATTGTTATAATCATCGATGTCGTATTCAACTACGTATGTTCGACGTCGTCGTTGCACCTTTCTGCGTCGCTTTTGCACTTTCTTCTTCACCAACTTTGACTGGCGTCTCGTGGTTGTTGTGGAAGTTACCGTTGTCGTTGTAGTCGTAATTGTTTCCGTACCACGAGATGGTCCTAAAATAATAATTGAAATTAGTATCGATTCAGACAAACAATCGAATATGTTAATGTGTTACCTGGCAACGAGATATCCCATACGGACTCCGCTTGGTTTTCCTGGCGCAGATTTCGGATAGTAGTTCGAATGCGTTCGCTCTGTCTGGTTCGAGTAATGCGAGGCACTACCTCGCGTCGGACCCGGAGCCGTGTAGCGGGTGCAACGAACGCTTCCATTTCGGCTAATACTTCTGGAATATCATCATCGGTTACTTCGCTTGCAAAACAATTATCACAATACCACGAGCCTTCTGGTACATCAGTGAGTGGTGGCATTAAACAATCCATATGATAGCCAGCATCGCAGCCATCGCAAAGTAGCATAATATCTTCACGATCCGACCGATTGCAAATTTCACAATGAGTGAATTCGAGCTCGTCCATTTTTGTTTCCGTCACTTTTGCCATCACCGCTTGCTCACGAACAAAAACCCCGTCAACAAAACGCGAGCGGATATGAATGCTTGTGAATGGCTTTCTATCGATTGGACATGTTTGAACATTGCTCGACCACTCTTCAATGCATGGTGCACAAAAGCTGTGATCACAAACACTCGGTGTGCCAATCTCTTGGTCGCGAAATGCATGCAAGCAAATCGGACATTTTTCCATTGCATCACAGCTACTGTCCGTATCTGAGCTCTCACTCACAATCACACGTTTGACACGTTCAGCTGCTAATGATGATGATGATGCTTGTTGCTTTTTGACTGGGCTCCACGAATCATCGGACGATTCATCACTTTCATCGACATCATTTTGGATTGTTAATTTTTTGCTATTTTTTTGCTGCACCAAATTCAACGGAGAATCACTGTCACTCGTCGAATCATTTTCGCTGGAGCTTTGAATCGTCTTTTTGTTTCGTTTTACTCTCTGGATTCGATTCGACGGACCTGCTTCATCACTATCTGCACTGCTAGTGTCTTCAAATTGAAATTTCACCACGACGCTCTTTTTCGTACGATGGATTTTTTCTTTTTCAGATTCACTTTCCGAGTCAGACATTTTGTCTCGATTCTACACAAGCCGAACGTAAGAAAAGGTAGAGAGAAAAAATGATTGCATCAATGAAACGAATTTTTCACCTTTAAAAGCGATGGTGTGAGAAAAAAAGACAATTCACTGTGCGTTAACATAATTTAATTACTGTTTTTTCTTCGATTTATTCGCGTTCTGAGCTTAATTTGGCTTTGATTACGCTTTTCATTTTGTATACACTCATAACAATAATAACAATAATAATCGATAAGGTAAAAAATTCTCTCAGCCACCAAAATATAAATTCACATACAAACCTACCGCTGACTATTTAACTTCTATTTATTTTAATGCGATTGAACGCATCAAATCGTTCAAATTCTATGTAATGGTGTAAAATGCTAAATTTATCAATTTATCGTGAACAAATTGGTGTAAATTTTTGTGCGAGCAAATGAAATACGAAGAGTGAATATCTTTTGTCTAACATCTAAGATGGCGATGGAAACGAATTGAGTAGCTTCCAATCAAACGTTTGGCTGAACTGTCAAAATTGACGACCGATTTGTGGAAAGTTCATAGCATCCACTCAATGTAAACATTCGCCTGAGAATTGTTAAAATTTATGCAATTATTCACGTTTATTTAATAAAAATGTGTTAAATTGATATGATTTTTTGCTTGAATACAAGTGGGATTCCTTTTTTTAGAAGAAACTAGTAGTTAGTTGTCACACAGAGAAAAACGAGAATCGGTAAAATACTTGTTATGTTGACAGCTTACCGCTGTCGCCATGTTTACGCTTCCAGTGGTCGTTCGTTCTACAACAATTGGAATATTCCATATTGGAAGCGATTGTTTAGTCGGCCGCTAAACCTGATTGATTCCGACTAAAAATAGATGTTCACTGTAAATTTTACGAGTTCACTTACTCAATTTTTTGCGAAACAGAAATTGAACTGTTGGATTTCCATTTTCAATACTGGAAAACCGTCAAGTTTGAATGGAATTGATGCGAATTGTGGAAATTCGTTATCTTAATGGAAATTTTTGATTCAATGATTCATTGAAGTTAAAATTTTTCTTTACAATGAAATAAACATCTGAAATTAATACCATTTAGCAGGCTAATAGCCTTATTTTTTATTATGTTTTAGTATAGAAAATTTAAAATGCCATGAAAATATTGAATCAAGCTGTGTCCATCGGTGTGGCGCTGCTGGATGCGATTGGAATAACGGTCTCTTCAATGTCGAATTGATGGATTTTTGTGTCGAGAACGGCTGTTGTACCCAGCTTGAAGTCATAGTTCAACTGAAAAGAAGATATTTTCGTTAGATCATTTTCATGAAAATGGTTAAATACAGACAATAAATGAATTCCCCAAAAAACTTACAGCACGAACTCCTTTCTCATTGGCATATTCATAACCACGCAAATATTCGACGGTGCCTTTTTTGATAACGCACAAATCGATGTTTGAGCCCGAACCAAGATCATTGAATACACCCGAAGCGATTGCATCGCGAACCAATTTTTTGGCTTCTTCTTCTTCCATGTCCGGTCGCCAACGATCTGTTAAAAGTCGCATATAATTATTTAGATTAAGACGTACCAAATTGCAACACTTATGTGTACAAGTTACGCACCTTCAAAAACAGCCATAGCAGCCAAACTGCCGGAACCCATGGTAGTGTATGGCAATCGGTCTGTTGATCCGTGTGGATGAATGGAATAGATGTGTGGTCCACTGATGTCAACACCTCCCAATACCAAAGCAGCACTAACGTGGCCTTGATAACGGAATAGCATCCGTTTCAACAGTGTATTGGCTGTTGTAACACGAACTTCACGACCGGTGTTCAATCGAAGCAATTCCAATTGCGATGAAATCATATTTGTC